TGCACTTTGAGACTCAGACCAAATGGTCAAGTTATCTCTCTTTTTCCACTCAGCACGAGAAGTTTTGCCATCATGACAACATTTGTTGGTGCTACAGGACATAGCGAGCAGGCCTGACAATGTCAAGGTCACACTTAACACCATTTCTTTGTCAGTGACGTAGCTGAACGCCTTACAGACATACTGGAGTTTTCATCTTCTGTCTCCTTACCGGCGTGTGAAGTCAATGCATCAATCCTTTTTTCTGCTTCAAGACCTAGACACATGAAAATTGTTTCTTACTTGAAAGCCTGTGAAGTTTCTTGACAATAGAAACACAATGGAGTGTATGCTCCGACCAAAGACTTACGTTCCTGTCAAGGAGAATTGAGAAAGTTACCCGTTCTACATCTCCAAACTTTTGCCAGCAGAGACCAGCCCGGAGGTATAGAGGCTGTTCTTTCCTTCCACAACACACAAACAGACCATCCAAACATAGGCCACAAAGTCTGCCACAAATTCTTCCTACAATTTGATGAAGCAAAACTCAAACATCACAGCATGTGACCCTATGTCCGTGGTTTACAGTCTGTAGAATCCTACATTTCCACACAAAACATTCAAACTTTTGAAATTCTTAGAGTTGTTCTCGACAAGGTATACTGAAATATACAGCAACAATAAAAAATAGGTATATATATATAAGAGAACATCTTTTTTTTCTTATTTCATCCGTCATACAGAACACAGTATGCCGAAAATAAAAACTCCAAAAAACACAAGTGTCCAGAAAAGAGCAGGAAATATATATTGCCCTCCCACAATATTAACTTAATTCTGCCTTAAAACAACAACTAAAATGTGTCCACAGGTCCACACAAATATAACAAATGTTGAACGTCACACTCAGTCCTTTATTAAGACTCACAACAATCTTTTCTTCAAACATACGCGGACGAAAAGAGAATCGATTCAGCTGTCAAAATGGACTGGACGTATTAACAACCAGTTTCTAAAAGCAGAGGCAGTCTCAGTCTGGCTGGCTTAGATGACATTCTAAATTCTGCCAGAGAAAGAAAACACCAGAAATCTGTGCCAAAACAGAAAAGAAGACAACACGCATACAGGGATGACATTTGCCAGATGAAGGTGCGGTGAAATAAATACAGTAGAAACGGTGATTGAGAAACGACAAAAAGAAAGAGAAAAAACAACCACAAGCAATCCGATACATTTCGTCATGTATATATATCGTAGTTACTAAATCTTGGAAAAAAGCACAAAACAAAACCATTGATAACATTAATGTACATTCATGATATCTGACGTAGAAATATGGACAACAATCATGAAATGACCCTCCAGATAGAGTGCTCTCAGAATATTGCATACTATGTTCTTCCTCTCCAAGGTGGGAAAGATAGGGCCGGTACTAAGACAGGACACTGAGGGGTTCTACAGGGGGTCTCCTGGTCAAATCATTGGGCAGACAACACGCACCATCCCTGGCAAACAGGGAAAAAGAAGGAAGATAGGCTACTTCATTGTCAATTGTCATTCAGATATGAACAAAGCCAGTAGCCAGCCATAGGACCATCCAAAAAATTATTATCAGAGCAATAAAAGTTAGTAATTTTATCCCCGGATGTCATGTGCTGTGTGAGATAAAACATTGATCCTGAGACTCAAAGTAGATTGTTCCAGTACTCTAGAATATTTTCCTTCATCAAGTGTTTCGGCTTTCATTTGAGACCGCTTTCAATGGTCCCCTAGAGATAAAAAGCGCCAACAAGGCAGATTAAATGTGACCAATGTTTTCCATTACGCCTCATCGCCCGCTGACCTGTCGCAAAGATTGACCCACAAGACCAAAGACATTCCAGACCACACCTTGCATACGTACAGCCTGCATAGCAGCCTCATACAGACACACGACACATACACATGCACCCACGACACATACACATGCACCCACGACACATACACACGCACACGATAGATGCACACACACACACAACACATACACACGCACACACACACACATACGCACATGCAAAAGCATACAGGCACAAATACATACATTACACACATGATAAACATACACACTCACTCATGAACACACCCACCCACACACACACCCACCCACATACACACACCCACACACACAAAAGCACACACAGAGTACCCTCTGACCTCCCCAGAGCTACTCAGTCAAAGACAACAAAGACGATCTGTGAGAGGTCGCCACTGGTGGAATAACGACCATGATGACGGTGATGATAACAATGACGGTGATGATAACAATGATTGCGGTATACACGGGGAGATGGAATCATTGGGATGGACG